CAACTGGAATATGGATAATTTTCAATATTATCAGTGAAGCGAGCAGATTATTTAATCCAGGGAAGGCGGTGAGAATAGGATGTCCACCTCACTTGTCTTCACTCAGAGGGAGTTGTTTACTTCCATCATTGGACATCTTTATCAGACAGCTTTTGACGATTTTTTGGATGCTTCTTTTTTAAAGGTTGTAAACAACTGATGCTCTTCAGCTTCAGATATATTTTATTATTTCTGTTCTGGGTAAACTGAGTCAACATTATTCAAGAAAGAAGACTAGTAGAAAAGTTAATATATATTCTTTGAAAATGAAATGGCAGTTAAGATCTGGAGAGATTGCTCAGTGATTAGAAGCACTTCTTCAAGCAGAGGAACGGGCTTCAGTCGCAGCAGACACGCAGCAGCACAGCAGTTCACAACTGACTGTAACTCTAGTTCCAGGGGATCTCACACCATCTTCTGTCTCTAAACATTGCATGTATATGATACACTCATATACATCCAGAAAAGCAATGCATACACTTAAAAATACCTGGAAAGGGAATGAAATGATACTCACACGGGAAGCGATCACTGTCAGCTGATGGATGAGAGCTGGTGTGTTAGTTAACCAGTGCTTACATTTCCTCACTTTGCGAATCATAATTGCTTTCCAGAAGCAAAACACACCCATATTCCTATGATCCTTGTCTTAATGCTAATTAGGGTGAAATCCTGACTCGAATGGCAATATCCTTGGAGATGAGAAGCTTAAGTTTCATAAAACTTACACCTGTGCCTGAGAGGGGTACACTGCTACCAAGTTGTACTGAAAGGCAGCCTATAGGACAGCAATAAGTCATCTAGGCAACAGCCTCCTTCACCTTCTGAGTTGCAGGCATCATCTATTTGGGTTGAGCACAAATGAACGTCTTCCGGAGTCTATGTACTATCACATCTGCACTGCACAAATGAGAGAATTGATGATAAAAAATCATTCATCAGTGACAACATATAAAACATTATTTTAATTCTCTTAAAATCAGAGGTTTAAGTCAAAAGAGTTAATGGCTTTGATTAAAAGAAAAAGGTTATGTATGTATGTATGGATACACTTGACTTCATTTCAAGGATTTTTTTTTCCTTACAAAAATGCAGACTTTTCTACTCAGTTCTTTCTTACAGTGAGATACAGCTAGCTAGCTAGTTCACTTTTGCTTCATGTAGGGTCCAGTGCTGGGTATGATCACCAATGTCTTTTCTCCCTCAGTAGGGAGAAAGCAGGGAGGGTTTCCTAGTCCAACCCAGATATTTTTCTCTTTGTCCTCCACAACCATAGTGTGTGGCATAATTTTTTTGCCTTACTGTTATCTATTTCCTCTTTGTGCTTCACTGAGTTTCCATCCATTGATAGGGTTCTTATATATACACCAACAAAAACTTGATATTTTTTCTAATAAAAAAAATTCAATGCTTCAGTCCTTCCTCATTAAAAATTTTCTTGAGATCTTTGACCAGACTGTCCCTTCATATGACAATGCATAGCGGTTCATGGGAGATGAGAAAACCCTATCCCAATTTCTGCTCCATTATTAATATGAGGAGAACTCTGAACAAGAAGCTACAAGGTAGTTATTTTTCCAGGTTGGATTATTTCTTGGTGGTGTCAAGGTAAAGGTGATAAATGAGACAGAAGTTTCCCTTCTCTTATGCTACTGTCATCAATAAAGTACGTGTGATAACACAGGGGAAATCAGAATCACTCTTGGGGTTCTTAAAAGTATTAAGAAAAGAATTTTAAAATGGACACAGGAAGCTCAAGTGTAATTTTATTTAAGTTTGGAAGAAAAACCCCAGGGTGGGCAAACTGAAAATCTCAGCAGCTGCCTGGAGGAGAACAGGGGAGAGAAGGGAGAAAAGTCATTCCATTTTAGCCGGTATAGAAGCCAGACAGATGAGGGGCAAGCAGCTGCACCGTTGGAAGAGGAGCTTTAAAGATAAGGGAAGCCCAAAATATCAGAAAAGGAATAGTTATAGTCTACCCAGCACCTGAAAGAAAGAGCAGAAAAAGTTTTAAAATAATAATAATTAAAAGAAAAGTGACACCTTTCTGAATCAGGCCTCAGAGTAACGGCAGACCCCTGCAAACCTTGTCATAGTCTGTAGGGATTACACGGTGGATGCCGATTCTGGGAAGAAAAGTACAGTATTCCGTTACAGGACTAATTATCCCACCTGCATCTTCAGCATGGCCAAGGTGAGTTCCCTTCCTAGGGGTCCCAGTTAGAGTGATAGAGCTCGACCTACACCAGAAATTCTGTTCTTGATCAAAAGTTCCTTTCTTTTCCTTCCTTAAAGAGTCTTTATTGCTGCTCTAACAGTCTGATTTTGTCATGGGTGCAAATCTTTCATTTCATCGGCGGTTCACGGCACCAAGGTATAAAGCTCTCTCTTCTACCTTACACATAAATTTAGAAAAAGTACTATTCCAGTATAATTGTTTAGGACATGGAAAGGCTATTTCTTAGTCTGAACTATAGCGTGCACCAAGTTTTAAACAGCAGAATCTCCTTTACTTTAAACTAGAATAACTTGACAGTGACATTGAAACTAAGGGTTTTTTGGCCATTTTGGGATTGAGGGACAGAGTTTTCTGATGAAAAGAACTTGAAACTGAACCCTAAGTTGATGCAGAGTGACACAGTCTCCCTGGTAACTCTGGTACCAGCAGACAATATGCTCATCAAGAACGTGCCAAGAGCCAGTCCACAAAACGGCAGGTGCCTTCAAATGGGCAGTGGCCAATATTGCTTTTGAGAATTAAGAAACCTTGTCTGTATTCAGCTAACCAATTATTCAGCCAACTATACATTGGGGAAATTAAATCCTGGAGCAAAAGATTTCATTACATCCATAGCCACAAATATTGTTCTTGGATATAAACTTCCTGGCTCACTTGACCCAGTGACCTTTTATTTCGATATATCTAATAGATTTATAATATGTTCTGGGAAGAAGTCTTCTTTTTCTTAAATTGCTCTTTCAAGTTCTTGAATATCACATGAATGTTCAGTCCTTCTGAGAACTCAAGTACTCCAAATATTCTGTGAAATTAGCTTCAGCCCTGCTTCATACATGGGGAGCCCTGCAGAAAATCATTGATGGATGGACGCATAGGATTAATCCAGTTTATTCTGATAATGTGATTTTTATTTCTGTTTGATGCTTTTGAACTATGAGAACTAAGCCAATTTTCAATTAATCTTAATTTCCAGTACCTAGCAAAGGGTTCAATACATAATAAATTTTAATTTCAGTAACTCAGAGAAACAAGATTAACTTGTCTCAGTGTTTTCAAATAAGTGATGCATTTTCCAGCAAAAGTAGAGGAATATGATTTGGGTAAAGTTGGGGTCAATACCAAAAAAAATTTACTATTGCTATTATGTTATTTTTGCTATAGTACATGGAATATTTGTTATATTGTTATTGAACTAAGAAACTATAACTATGAAGAAAAATATTACAACTAATATTAAAGTGAAAGTAAATACATCTCTAGATGCAATAGCAGATGATAGATATTTCCATATGAATGGCTAAAGCATGAGTCCCTAGATTCAATGCCCAGTCTAACAAAAACTATGTCATTCTACCCGTCTCACTCCCTTGTTAGAAAGCCAGCTACTTCAGGATTTATTTACCAATGCAATTTTTTAAATCTTGTTCTCTCATACAAACATTTATTGTGCTTTAATGAAGTCATTTATAAAAATAGTTGTATTTTACTCGTAGTCATAGGGCCACTGTGTTATTATTACTATTGCAGCTCTCAACTGTTGTAATTTATTATTTTCTTGCATCAATCTCTATAATTTCGGTTACTTCACAGAACTCAACATAAGATCTAGCTGCTAGAACTGCGGAAGTTTTTAAAGCTGTAAGAAGTTTGTTCATAAGCCTCCTGTGCATGTGAAGAAGAATACGGGATAGAAGAAGGTATGGATTTGACTTATGATTAAAACTACAATTCTAGGATGTAGCCGATCCTTTTATTTCCTTTCTTCTCCCCTTTTCTCCCACTCTTTCTTTCTTTGCCTGCTCCGCCATCTTACCTGCTTGTAGCCTTTCTTTTCTACTGAGTACTAAAATAGACCCTCATATCCTTACCATTTATTTGACACAAAGGTCTTCTGTGTGATACTCTGGAATAAATAATATAATGAATTTATTAGAAACGTGATTTTTTTCTCTCTCACTAAAATTGGACTTAGAAGATGTGAAGCTCTCTTTCATCATTATTTCTGACATTCATTTTCATTGCGGGATATTACAATCGTTCTCATTCTGCAGTCAGACTTTTTTGGACAGAGACACATTATGTATGCATTAAAATCCTCAGTGAGCAGGTATTGAGCGCTTGGCACCCATCTGAAATCAGGGCCAGAAGAAGAACCTGGCATCGTGTTATGTTACAAAAGGTGAATTAACAGATGATTTTTATTTGTTCACTATTTTTTAAAAATAAATATATGTATAGAATGGAAAGACTTGTGAGTGTATAAGCTTTGTCCCTAAAAAGTTAAATATGCAAGTCCTTTGTTCCTTCTTTATTGTGAAAAGAAGCTGAAATGGTTACAGAGAGATATGGCTTACTAGGTATACTGAATACAGAACACCTGTGTCTTGCCACATTTGTACATTTCAGTTTTCTAAATCATGTGCCACATTTCAGCTTCTTGATAATTCCTGTGCAAAGTAATGCTTTGAATATCTGCTATCTACTATCTATCTATCTATCTATCTATCTATCTATCTATCTATCTATCTATCATCTATCTATCTCTCTATCATCTATCTATCTATCTACCATCTATCTATCTATCTATCTATCATCTATCTATCATCTATCTATCTATCTATCTATCTATCTATCTATCTATCTATGTCTCTTGTTTTTTTTTTTTTAACAAGGCTGCATGTAGGCCAGGCTATCCTCAAACCCACTGTGCAGCCAAGACTTGCCTTCAGTTGTTGATCCTCCAGTCACCGGAGCAATTATTCACAGCTTTGAACATTTACGTTTCTGTATCTGGAATATAACAAGTAATTATGCAAATTTCAGTAGAACATATTTCTGTATTACCATAGTTCAGAATAACTGGATACAGCCCTATGAAGCACACATATGATAAAAAGCTAGAGAAAATATGGTAAAAACGTTTTTATTGAAATGTCTCTGATAAACTTATTATCAAAAATTCTTTTTTCCAAAAGTGCTACCTTCGTTTTTAACCTTCATTGTAATCTGCATTTTTAAATTTAAATGATTTTGGCAGTAATTTAAATGATTATGGACAATAACTTATACTTAAAGTCCAACCATGATTACTCATAGGATGCTTTCTTTTTAATAAGGAATTAAATCAGTGCAAGGAATGGTGGCTCATGTTTGTAATCCTAGTCCTGGGGAATCTGCAATGAGTAGATTGCTATGAGTTTGAGTTAACCTGGACTACATAGCAGTTTCCAAGCCAGCCTAAGCTACAGAGCTAAACCCAGTTTAGAAAAATGTGCATTTGTGTGTGTGTGTGTGTGTATTTGCTTGTATGTATACACAAATAGAAATTAGATTATGTAGAATTAAAAAACAAATTGATGATTAGCAACATTACTTTCCAATTCAATTTCTGCAACAGCAATATAATTTCAGATTATTAAGAGAGATTCTTCATAAAGCCAAGGACTTGCTGATTTTTATTTCAGATGAACTGACTTGGCTAAACAGAGCATGATAACATTTCGGGAGTGCAAAGGAAAGTTCTGTTATCTCGATTGTGGTGATTGTTACATGACTGACTATTCGTTCAATTCTATGCAGCTGCATTCCATCAGAGTTGAATTTTGCTGCATATGTTATTGCTCAGGAAACCGTTATTACAAGTCTGCATGTACGAAATTTTCAAAGAACAAATAAAAAATTCAGAAGGCGATAAAATGGGTACTTTGATGATAGCCATTTCAATATCTCACCCTATTCTTGCATTTTTCTCCCTGGGTGTTGCTCTGATGGTTTCCTCGACACTAGAGCTTTGAAGACAAGGCTGATTGTAATATCATTATTCCGAGAGACCGTTTAGTGTTTATTAACTCACATTTCACTTGGCAACTCACTCTCGTGTTAACAGTGTGCAAGAGAAGGGAAATCACATGCCTGTCTTTGTCCCTGCCTCTCACTCCCTATTGTCTTCAATGGTCCACAGATTCCTGGATGCCATCTTTACTTTCTTCCCAATACAATTAGACAGTGAAGATTCCTAAACTGTGTGAATGGGTCCATAACATCAGCTTCTTAGGGTCAAATCAAAAACAAATCATTTATTCTTTCCTCTATCTTTTACATTTTTCAATAAGCACATTCTGCATAATTACTTTCAAATTACAGTTTGATTCCGATAAAACTCCCCCGACACCTCACCTGCTAAAATGTACTCTCTCATGTGAATTCATGTTATTGCCAGTACTTTTTCCCATTCATCTGTAACATTGATTTCAACTTCTATTCTCATAATGATCAAAGATCTGTTATACATGGCTTTAGATCTTCTAACGCCAGTGCTGAAACCCTACAGTAATGTTATTTCACATTTATGATAAATGTCAAATTCACTACTATGACCCAAATCCCTACACTAAGACGCAGAAAGTCATGACTTGTGGGTCATATCTAGACCACGGTCTGTGACTTTGGACTTTTTTTTTGGATAATGGTAAAATAGTTGTTTTAAATAATTTACTCTGCTGGTTTTGCCATGCACACACCACATGAATGCTCAAGATAGTTTTGTGATTGGAAATATAATCTTATAAATCTTTCACGAACTCTTTTTTTTTAACCTTAAAGACAATTGGAGTTTCAGAGAATGAGTAATGGGACAGGTAAGGTGAAGATCTGGAGAGCTGCCAGGATGTGAGAGTTATATATGAGAAAGAGAACGATGCTGCTACAGCCAACACTAGTAGCTAAAACCGAGATGCACTCATGCAGATGTGTCTGCTTACCTTTGTCTCGCCCAATCTCGATGGAGCATGGCTTTCTTTCCATCAGTCAAGCACTATCTCCACTGCATCTGTTCTGGCCATACACTAATGTCTTTTCACTTTATTTGCAACACACAGATACCACTCTACCATAGGGCTTTGGTCTTGCAGATCCTTTCATTTAGAAAATCCTCTCGCGGATCTTTAAATGATTGACTCCTTTTCTTGGTGTGGCCTCTGTTTAAATGTCATGCCCTCAGAGAAGAAGCTTACCGCCAACTAAATATCTCAAAGAGGTAACTTCTTAATTGTACAGCTTGCGACTCATCCTGAGTAAAAAGACAGAGTTAAAATTGCTTAAACATGTTTATATATTGTATATTTTTTCAGGACATTTGTTTAGACATGTTTATATATTGCATATTTTTCAGGACAATCACTACCAGGAAAAGAGGGAAATTCACTGCTAGCGCATTTTGTACTAATTTACTGAACTAGTAAAGCTGCTACCATTCCCTCCATATCAAACATAAAGGATCTATAAAGGAAAAACATCAAGAAAGAGATAAAAGTCTGTTAAAAATCCCTGGATAACATATGGAGCTGTTTTGAACCACTGCATGTGGGAGGGGTAGTGACTTTGGCCTGAGGGAGAAGACAGGCATTAATGTGGGAGGATTGGGAAAGAAAAATATCAGAGCAGAAGCAGAACTACCCACTTATAGCTGATGGCTCCAAGCTTGTACCAAGGTACCACAAGGTAATATATAAGCTGTGTTTCCAGCAGTTTATCTCTATAAGCAATTGATATTCCCAGGGAGGAGAAACACTCAGAATAGAATACTAGAAAATCTGAGAAACAGCTTGCTTAAAGAAAAGGACAGCATAATTGATTATAGATTAATAATATCAGTAGTTTAGAACTGGCCTAGTATTTATATACATATATACATACTATAAGAAATAAAACAATTTTTATTAATAAATGAGAAGGTCTGGAGAGATGGCTCAGCAACAAAGAGTGATTGGATCTTGTGCACAGAACCAGAGTTCTCTTCCTACCACTCACATCAGTTGGATCAAAACCAGCTGTAACTCCAGCTCCAGATGGATTGGCACACTCTTCTGGCCTCCACAGACACCCAAATAAACAAGGCATACACATATGGTCAGACACACATATAGACACTTAAAATTTTAAAAATAAAAAGTAGGGGCAGTAGAGGTGATTCAGAGGTTAAAAGCACTATATATATATATATACCTAGATGCTCTAATATAGCCTAGAAGTACATATAAGCAATACGCTTACTTGCAGACTTCCCACAGGGTCAGTTACTAGTAGTGTTAGGTGCACCATTCTCCCTCAATATAGAATAAAACAAATAATGAAAAGATTCTATCCAACTACAACATTTGAGAGAGAACATTTGAGTCCAGTATCAGTAAAACATAGGTGCCACAGGACATAGAGGCTCAAGATGGATAAGATCTTCTCATGATGAGGAAAAGATGAACAATGAGTGGTCCTGGTAGCTCCACTGCTATCTTAAAAGTGAAGATCTTTTGCTGTTGAGGACTGTTGCAGACCCTGTATCCAGAACAACCAGGAAGTCAGCATCACCCCAAGACCCAAGACAAGGAGCCCAATTCACAATGTATGTAAATCATGTTACGCAGTGTTTTGTGAGATTACATCAAGCCAAAGACAATAAAAGCTGATGACCATCCTGGTGTAGATACCCAAGCACTCACCTGAACCTGACAAAGAAATATAACTCACATGAAACCCTCAGATATTTATGGAAAGCTTTTGTTGTGCATCAGTCTTAACCAGCCTGGCCTGATAAAGTGTCCTTTACCTAAAATGATCCACAGACACTGATGGATATCCTACAGTTTAAGCACATGTTTTATATCCAGAGACTCTGAACAGCATGATCTATTGCTAAAGTAGTTGCATCCCATCTAGGAGAACAACCCATGAACCTCTACAGCCTAGGACACAGAGGCACCCATAGACAATGTGAACAGTTGATACCTGAAGAAACGACATGGATAATTTCCCTCTTAATCTACTTGTAATCACAACCACTCCAGTCCATCTTACATAACCAGAATCTAGCATACATATGTAGGCAACAGACAATAGTTGTTAGAAGTAAATCATCTGAATCCTGTGTAAGCATAAATGTGTGAAAATTGTTAGGATAAAAACAATGAAAATATGGTGATATGCAAAATATTCATCAGTATGGTTATGGGCTAAGGCCAGTTCAGGCACCCTTTTTTCTGCTGTCCAGGGAACAATCTGGGGGCCTCTCCTTGGACCTGGGAACCCCTCTAGAATCAAGATTCTTGCAAACCTTAAAATGGCTCCCTTAGTTGAGATATAAACTTCCCTACTCCCATATCCATCCTTCCTCCATCCCCCCATCCCATTCCCCCAAGCTATCCCCAATCTTTCCCTTCTCCCTTCTCTCTAACCATCTCCCCTAACTTCCACCCCCCCACCCCCCGTGCACCCAAGTTTGCCTGGCAATCTTGTCTACTTCCAATATCCAGGAGGATAACTGTATGATTTTCTTCAGGTTCACCTTCTTATTAGAAGCCATTGATAATGGCACTGGGTCTTGTTTTGTCTGCATGTACTGGCTTTTTGGGATCCTAGTCCGTTTGGATGCTCACCTTCCTAGACCTGGAGGGAGGGGGGAGGAACTTGAACTTCCCACAGGGCAGGAAACCCTGACTGCTCTTAGGACTGGAGAGGAAGGAGGAGAGGGAGTGGGGGGAGTGGGAGGGTATTGGGAGAAGGGGAGGAAGTGGAAATTTTTGTAAATAAATAAATAAGTAAATAGAAAAATTAAAACCAAAAAACCCAATGAAAATAGTATTATGATTGCAACTTAATTCAAAGAGAAGAACATTAACCAATTGTCTAAAAAACAAATAGTCCATGTGGAAATTATAACAGAACTGAAAAAGATGCACGGATGTATAGACAATCAGTCATACTAAGAAGCTAATTCATGAGCTGAATGAGAAAATCAGCAGAAAGAAACATCACTGAAAGACCAGAAGCCATTAACAAATGGATGCAATTGTTACAATTGTTAACAAAAGTTACATTGTTAATAAAAGTTACATTGTTAATAAAGTTATCAACGGATACAAATTAAAATACAATTTAAGACCAGCAAGAAGGCTTCAGAATGGCCTGCAAAGACACCTGATACCAAGCATGGAGCCTGAGTTTGATTGCTAGGATACATATAGGGATAAAGAGAAATGACTGCCACAGGTAACCATGCATTCACTTACCCACCCCAACATAAGTAAATAAATAAAACAAAGTGTAAAAACAAGAATTTACAGAAAATAGAGCTGAATACCTCAACAACAAACTAGATTAAATAGAATTTCTGAACTTGAAGCAGATCTTTTGAAATAACCCAACCAGAGTAAAGCAAAAAAAAGATTTGTGGAACAAGGAGGGAAGAAAGGAACAAGGAGAGAGGTAGGGAAGTAGTAAGGGAATAAAGAAAGCAAAAAGGAAAAGGAAGAAAGGGAGAAAGGAGAAAGTAAGGAAAGGAAGGGAAGGAAGGAATATAGGAGGGAGTGAGTTTGGTTTGCATATTATGTGTTCCAGAAGGAAGAAAAGAGGGGAAACATGGGGAAAACTTATTTAAATAAAATAATAACTGAAATAGCTCCAAATTTCAAGAAGATATTTCCATCAAAATATAGGAAACACAAAACACTCCACATAAATTTGAGGGGGGAGAATGCTTCCTAAGGCATATTATGCTAAAATTCTTCAAAGTTCAAAATATACACAGAACAGTAAAAATTAAATAGGAAAAATTAAGCCTCATGCAAGAAAATCTGTGCAAAATTAACCACAGATTTCTCAACAGAAATTTTACAGGGCAGAGAGGATGATGTGACATATTGGAAGTGATTTTAAAAAACTGTCAAGTATAATTATACTCAGCATAACTGCCTTTCAAAAATGAGAGGAATAAAGTCTTTCCAAGAAAATCAGAACCTAAAGGGATTAATCATGGCCAGACAAGCTCAGTGGAGCATTCCATCTAAATGGTAAGTGACAATGACCACTATCATGATGAAATGAAAATGTAAAACTCAGCTGAAGATCACCTAATGAACAAGAGAGGGAAAAAAACTGCAGTGGCCGCACATAACACCACCAACTGAATAGACAAGAAGCAAGAAGGAACAAGAATATAAACACCCAAGAACAGGATGGAAGAGGAGTTACTGCTTTCTTTGCTGCTGTCAAAGATGGCTAACCAAAATGACCTTGGGGAGGAATTGACCTCTTTGGCTTACTTTTCCCATCACAGCTGATCACTGTGAACTCAAGGCAAGAATTCAATGCAAGAACCTGTGTAGGAGGAAGGCCGCTAGTTAGTTCCCCGCCGCTTAACCCCAAAATAACCACACAAAAACCATATTAATTAAATCACTGCTTGGTTCATTGGCTATAGCTTCTGATTGGATAATCTTTTACAAATTAATTTAACCCATTTCTATTAGTTTGTGTATCGCTACATGACAATGGCTTACCAGCTAAAGTTTAGGCATGTCTGACTCTGGTGGCTCCATGGTGTCTCTCCCTCTGCCTTCCTTCTCCCAGCATACAATCCATTTTTCCCCACATACCTAAGTTCTGCCCTGTCAACAGGCCAAGGAAGTTTCTTTATTCATTAACCAATAAAAGAAACACAAAGACAGAAGGACCTCCCATACCAAACCTGAAGACAGGAACGTCAGCGAGGCCATGGAGGAGTGCTGCTTCTTAGCTATATGCCCATGAATTTCTCAGTTTGCCCTTTTATACAGCTCAGAGCCACCTTCCCAGGGGTGGTAATACCCATAGCAGGTTCTGCTCTGCCACATCAATCATCAATGAGAGAAATTCTCAATTTCTGATAGAGAAATCTTTACATTTATCATTTCCTCTTTCCAAATGATTCTAGTTTCTGCAAAGTTATCACAAATTAATCAGCACATTAATGATGTAAATAATGAAAGCAGATACGTAGCAGTCAGCATTTAAGAGTATAAGATAAAAGGCTTTTACTACAGTTCAGGGAGTTGTTTTAAGGGGAACTAACCAAACACTGTTAAAAAAAAAGAAGTAAAGACAATAGGACATTTAATTAGTTCACAGGGAGGACACATAGTACAAAAGGATAAGGCTGTTATGAAAACAGTCTGCATGCAGCTCACATGAAAAAAGAAATGATATTTTGAAAAAAATAAACAACTATAAATCACTAATTTTATACCTGTAAACACTATT